CTAATTCAAAGACAGAGACATATCTTTGAAAAGATAATTTCATATCAGTAACATATTTTATTCATTTTAGAATATTTTGTGCACTAACAGCTAGAATTTACTTCATCTAAAACTAAAAAACAATTCTTATTACTTTTAAGAAATAACGCAGAGGACACAAACATATTTGTAACAAACAATAAAATCTTATTGTTGAAATAATTATCTTAATTATGGATGAAAAAAATGAAAAAGAAGAAATAAAATCAGATGTTATAGATCGAAGACATGATCAGATGATAGATCATCTATATCGTGCTAATCAAGTTGCCAAACGTGCATTACAATTTGGTCATCATCCATTTGGTTGTATACTTGTTGCACCAGACAATCAAACTGTTTTAATCGAACAAGGAAATATCGATACAGTTAATCATGCTGAATCAACACTTGCTCGAATTGCTTATACAAATTTTTCTCCTGAATATCTTTGGGAATGTACAATTTATACAACATTCGAACCATGTGTTATGTGTACAGGGACATTGTATTGGACTAATATTGGGCATGTCGTTTATGGTGCAACAGAAAAACGTTTACTTGAACTTACTGGTAATAATAAGAAAAATCCAACACTTGATATTCCTTGTCGTTATGTATTTGATCATGGGCAGAAGAATGTTAAAGTATCTGGTCCATTTCCTGAAATTGAAGATGAACTCATAGAATTACATAAAGAATTTTGGAAATAAATAAACATTTATATTTATCTTCGTCGATTTTACATTTAAAAAATTGAAGAATCTTTCTTTTTAAAATGAATATATCTTCATAATCAATTATAAATTAGGAGAAGGGTATTTTGTATATAATTCATTATTAAAAAATTCAAACTCGTTAAAAACTGAATAATTGAAATATTTCTTTTGATAAATATTGAACACATAAAACAATCTTAATCCATTCACTACGACGGGTCCCACCGGTGTCACCCACTCGGTCTGAACAAGAAACTTAATAGAAAAACAGTTAATGTTCTTTTGTTTTCTAGTAGAAAACTATATGTGGTGTGTCATCCAGTCCGTCTCGCTATTATTTCAATTACTTATTGGATAGGATGATGTTTCTCACTGATGCAATCAGGACCAAAAAAAGTATCACAATCACAACAGAAAGCTTTTATTTTCTTTGCTTCTCTTAATTTTTGTTGCCCGATTTTTTCATAGCAGTCAACACAACACCATCGAACGTCACGACTAGATCCTTCTTTTTCTTCTAGCTTGTAATCAACGGGTTTACGTTTCGCTTGGTCAGTTGGTTTCTGTCTCACACGCGACTTTAGCTTCTCGAACAGCATAGTAAGCAGTAAAGGTCGGACTAGACTTTCACGGAACTGCAGAATGGTCACTTTATTTTGCGCGTAGTTTTCCTTATATATCAAATAGTTATTTACTAGTGCCGTCCCAAAAACCAATTCAAATGCTATCTTTCGGTACTACTGTATTGACAGCCTGAGGCACGTGTAATATGATGAAAGCTGATCAGATAAATCACTACCTAGTCTTTCTTCGTTGTAATCCAGTACGTACAACTTGTGGCTTCATGATGGGCTCATTTTTACTATTGGTATTTCTAGAATCCACCGCAGTTGCTGAATCCGACGGTCTTGTGGATATGATCAAGATGTCCTTTTTATCTTTCCACATGATCAATTTTATGCCATCTTTATTCTGAAGCCCGTAAACTTCACTGCGTCTAAGATTTTTCTGAACAACTTTGCTTCCCGATCCGGCATGATTAGTTCTCAGTGTCCTCATAAGATACGTATCATACTCGAACAAACATTTCACAAGAGAAATACTATTAAAGAAGTTGTCAGCTACCACGGTTCGATAACATCCTCCAAGACCACCCAACAAATTCATTACCACTATTTGAGCATGCTCAAGATCTGCCATGGGAACCTGCTCACCAGTATAGATCACATAATTCCAGGTATATCCAATGGTAGCCGCTAGCTTGTACATCTTTACGCCGTACCTATGTATTTATCTAGAAATATATTGTTTGAACAAAAGCCTACTTCGCCATGGTATCATAGTTTCGTCGATAGTTACAACTGAACCAGGCATATACACTGACGAGAATCTGACTTTCAGTAGATTCGAGAGTGTTTTCAACTTGAACAGCCTATCTTGATTCGAATCTTTGTTATCGTTATTCGAAAAATGCCAAAACTTGATAAGTAATTCGAACTTCTGTCTCGGCATAGCATTTCGAATAATCTCCGACCTATACAACTGATTGTTGCTTCAGTAGTGGCTCAATTTCGGCATTTATACCAACCTCGTCTCGATGATGATTCCAAAGAACTTGAGGATTTCTTCATCAGTGGTTGATTTCCATTGACGAAATTTTGATCATCTGCTGATTTCATAGATTTACAAGTATTGCTCCGCGTATCGATTAGTTTCACGAACTGTAAGGCCAATAATTTTGTCGGTGATGAAATGGTGATAGCAATCGATAGGATCAATTGTATTATCTTCTGAAGCAGAAGTTACTTCTTCGACGAGTCCATGATCTTCCATGAATTCTGCATCTGATTCTGATTTTATTTTATTTCAAACGTTTTAATATTCAATAAATATTAAAAATTACAGATCAAAAACCTCATAAAAGCTTCGATATTTTTTCACAGGCAAAAAAATGTTAACTATTTTGTGAAAGCTTTTTGCTGTGATAACTATGTCATATATGAACGTTTGTTTAATAACTATTGAAAGAGTAAATATGAATCTATATATACGGAGAGTGAATTTGAAATGAAAAGTGATATTAGTCAAGAATAAAATTCGAGAGAGAAATCAAAGTGGAAAAAGATAATTCTATAAATTTTCGGAGCACTGTATAATCTATAAAATCCTATTGATAATCGATTCTTATTCAGTAAAATATTGATTCATTTGGATAATATATATCGAATGATATTGACGGTATGTTGTCTCCTAATGATTGTTAGTGAGTGATTTGTTTACTAAAAGCAGTTATATATACCTGTACGTCATATTTTTCGTGTTCTCTTGTTTACTGCATGACGAATATATATTTTTTTCCTAGTTTGATCGACGATAAATAGCTCGTACTTATATAAGGCTACATATGAGGATAGGGACCAAAGATTAATTGACAAAGGTAAATATAACAATGAGTGACAATAAGATCGAAAAGAAAAATTTTTTGTCGATGAAAAAATGCATTTAAAATATGTTCTAATTATTGATGTTATTTATAATTTAGATAAATAATGCAATGTTAATATGACTGTATGAAAATAATGTGTGAAAATAGTCATCCATTTTTACGTATAGAAATAGTTAAATTTCAAGTAAATCATCAGAACGAAACAATAGATTTAACTAAAGTTAAAACTGAAGTTACAATAAAAGAAAAAAATACTTTAACAAAATCATGTATGTATATTCAATATTTATTTCTTTTTTTTTTTTTTCTTATGTTTCGTTTCTTTTTTGTTAGTACGAATAAAAAAGCCAATCTATAATGAAAATAATCAATCTATTCGATTTGATGCTGGTTTATACACAAATATAAAACGAGAAATTCTTATTCGAATTTTTTATAATGATATTTTATATGAATATGAATCAGATTTAAAACTTTTTCAAAGATTATCAGATGGATTTCGACATCAAGTATTTAATAATCAATTTATTTATTTGTTAAAATAAATAATTTTATATTTCTAATAGTTTTATTTTACACGAAAAGCTCAAGCTGAAATAATAATTGAATATATAGGTTAATTTATTGAATATTTATTTTATTTATTATTATTAATAATAATTATATAAATTAGATCCATCTCTTCGTAACGATTCTCAACTTAAAACAAAATTTCGTCATCAACGTTATGCTGAACGTTATAAAACTGTTTTAAAACATTTTGGTCATAGATTTGTCGGAAAAATCTTTAAAACACCAACACTTTGTTCAATTTGTAAAGATTTTCTCTGGTATAAACAATTTAAAAATGTTAATTATTAATAAATAATATTTATTCAAAGGGGTTTTACTTATAAAGGTTTTCAATGTCAACGATGTGATTATGTTGTACATAGAGATTGTTATAATCGTTGTATACATCCGTGTACTGGAATAAAATATCCAGATGTAACTGTTTTTTATCAATAAAATAAGAATTTACATTTTATTTAATAATTATTTTTCTTTAGAATGAAATAGGTAAAGCTCATCATTTTCAACATCAAAAATTTTCTTTCGAAACAATTTTTTGTGATCATGATGGAAGTTTTATTAAACCAGGACATTCATACAAATGCACTCGTAATTTTCGAAATATATCTTTATAGTTTTTTTTTTAAATATTAAACACTTTTTTTAGAATGTTCAATGGTTGTTCATCGACGATGTCAATCAAAAGTTGGACATTATTGTGGATATCAAGGAAATCCTTTAGAACTTTATCAAATATGGAAAGAAAAAGTATTTTTATTTTTATTAAGAAAATTTTTGTTTTTATTTAATTTCTAATTTAGCATAAATCAGATTCAGATTGTAATTATCTATATAATGGAGATTTATGTGAAATTTATTCAAGGGTTTATAAATCTGATCGACCAAATCATGTAAATAAACAAGTTATTGACCATATCTCAACAATTAATCAATCAAATACAACTTCAAATTTTCATATTAATCAAATTGAATTTTTACAAAAATTAGGCTATGGAATGACTGGAAAGGTTTGTCAAAATTTTCTTTTTTTTTTCAATGAAAAAGAATATTTTTTTCTTTTTTTTTGTAAATTATGAGAAGAGAGCAGACACATTAACTCTCACCGATAGAGACACTAGAGATATTAATGAAATAAATCATTCTCTACAACTACTCGATTCCCATCATCTTTTATCGTTATGTTAAGCAAATATCACAAAACACCAAACCAAATAACATCTCGACAGAGTCTTTTTTTGGATAACAACTCTCATCAGAAATATTTTCAAATTTTCGAGTAGATTCATCTCGATGAGTAGAACAAATATTGTTCTATACTGACAATTGGTAGATGCTTCCTTCTATTAGAAATTGGAGAATCGCAAAGACTAAAAGTCGCTACCCGAATCGTCCTCTTCTCTCAACTTTAATACGTCTGATAGAGTTGAAATGATTTTTTTTACAGCTACTAAACACTGTTTGGGATGTCAACCTTTTTTCTTTATTTTTATCTTCTTCCATTAGAATAAAAAGATAAAATTACTGATCATATTATTAAATGAATAAATTATATTCTAATATCAATTATTTTAAAAGAATTTCCCATGTCGAAAAAACTGGATCATTTTTACCGGTAAACTGCGCTTATTTGCAGTGATGGGAGCCGGTAATAGGAACGATAAAACCGCGGTAAACCATCGATTTTTTTGCCGACTTTTTTCACATTTGTAGCTACATAAAAATGACATGTAAAATGATCAAAATCGATGTTTTATCGCAGTCCAATATGAAAAATGACCAGCTGATAAGTTAACCGCAGTAAACTGCAACTTTTGTCCGGTTTAACGCGGTTAATTGCAGTAATTGGAGCCGGTTATCGGACCGGTAAAATCGTCTGTTTTTATCCAGTTTTGACTAGATCGATTAACTATAATAAGTTGAATTTTAGGTATATTTAGTACGACGTGGTCAATATTATTATGCAATGAAAACTCTTCGTAAAAATTTGATATTAGAAGGAGAAAATGTTGAATATGTTCAGTCGGAACGAGATATTCTTATTCAATGTCGATCAAATCCATTTATAATTCAACTTTTTTATACATTTCAAAATGTTGAACGACTTTTTTTTCTAATGGAGGTTGCTCGAGGTGGAACATTGTTTAATATTCTTCAATATCAATCACCTATACCATTAGAACAAGATCGAATTGTTTTTTACAGTGGTGAAGTAACATGTGCACTTATCTTTCTTCATTCAAAACGTATTGTATGATTTTTTTCTTTTTTAGAAATATATATATATATATTAATATTTATTTAATATAGATTTATCGTGATTTAAAACCTGAAAATATATTTATGTTTGAAGATGGACATATTAAAATTGGGGATTTTGGTTTATCAAAACAAAATCTTGATAAAAATCATAAAACAAAAACATTATGTGGAACATTGGAATATATTGCTTATGAAATTTATCATAGAGATTTTTATGATGAAAATGTTGATTGGTGGTCATTAGGAATTTTAATATTTGAATTATCAACATTTAAAACACCATTTTATGCTAATAATAGTAATGATATAATAAAAAATATTCTTTTAGCTCCTATAACATATCCACAAACAATGATTAAACAAACAAAACAAATTATATCTGCTTTACTTCAACGAGATCCACAACAAAGATTAGGAAATATTATTTCTCCACATGGTTTATTAAAAGATCAACCATTTTTTCAGTAATTTTATATTTTATTTCTATATATATATATATATATTCTAGAGAACCATATACACTTGATGCAATTGAAAATCGTCGTGTTCGTCCACCATGGATTCCTACTGTATGTAGAAAAATAATTTAAAAATAATGAATTTAATTTAATTTAATTTAATCTTTAGTTATTAACATCACTTAAACCAAAATCAATAGGTCCACAATTATCTCAAGTTGATAAAAAAGATGCTATTTTATTATTATCAACACCAATTGATACTTTTAACAATTTTGAATATATTAATCCTAATATTATTAATTTTCATAAACAGATTTAACACATATATATCTATATTATATATCGAATTTTTTTTTCTAAAAACATTCATATCGGAAAGATAATTATTAATTTAAATTAAAATAAATTAAATATTTTATCGATTGACAAGTTAAAACCATTTGAATAAATTATAATTCAAATATTCTAAAGTGTTTAACTATTTTTATTTTATAAAAATTTTCTCTTAATCTATCATTAATTAATAACAAAATTTTTTACTGAATTAATTATGTTCTTTATTCTTATTGTTATAATTCCTAAGAAATATAACTTAAATAAAGATGTTCGCATTCAAACTGATTGGATAATCGATGCAATCGAGAAAATGACATATGGATTTAAATCATGATCAAGTTATTTGAAAAGAAAAAGCTCGTCTAGGTGAATATCTATTAATTAGTTAATAAATCTATTCACTATTAAAAATCGATTATTTTAACGAAAACTTCGAATATTTGTTCTTATATTCATATTGATCAAAGTAAAACATTTTTTGACAAAAAAAAATTAAAGAATTATTATAGAATTATTGAATAAAAGTCTAATAAATGTAAATATCATTGTGACAATCTCTATCTATTATATTTGAAAGTAAATGCGACAGGATTATGTTATTCTATAGAAAAATTTTCATTAATAATTGTTAATCGATTTGATGAGAAGTTTATTGTTGAGTTATTATTAGAATAGAGATTTAATTTCGTCTAAAATAACGAATTCTATATGGAGGGTTATAAACAAAATGGAGAATATCATTTTTATTTGATAATAATCAATATTCCATCTCGATGAGCACCTTCTCGAAATTATTTTTATTTTATTGCATTTTTCTCTCTTATTATTGACATATTAAATGTAATAGAACCGATATTAAATAAATTATCTTGTTCGATAATTTCAATATTTTTATCACTAGCTGTTGAAATTTTATCTGAAGATTGAAATCTTGAAGAAGACATTATAAATGACATTCGACGTTTTATATCACTATCACATTCACTTTCTTGCATTATAACTGGAGCTGTTATCGAGATTTTTCCTTGTGTATTATTATTTAAAGATATATATTTAAACAATCGAAAAAATCCACTTCCAGTATTTGATGAAAAATCAGTCTTTGCTGGAACTTCATAGGAATATTATTTATAATATTGATCAATTTTATATCCATCTTATTTGGCAATAACATTGTATGATCAAATTTCACTACTAATACTTCCAAACATTGATAAATTTAAATTAATACTCTTTTCAATATTTTTATTTTGTTAGCTTTATAAATACTATCAACCTATGATTATGTCACCCGATTGGGTATATATATATATATATAGATCTACCTAATCATGCTTATATTATATTGTCTTTCTTCTTGAGAAAGAAAAAGAAACGCCTGGTTGGTTTTTTTACGTTGAAATCAGCCTAGGTCAAAGAAATGTTCTTACACAGCCGGTTACATTATTGACAAATCATCGTTTTTACATATAAAATTGATCGAGAAGATTTTGAGTACTATCGTTTATATAATCAGATTATTTATTAAAATAAAATTTTTGTAGAAAATATGTGTTTTTTAAAATATATTTGAAAGATTTGATATTATATATTGTCTAGTGTAAATAAGTATTGTCACTAATTACATTAGTTTTATCATTTTTCAATTGAAAATATTTTATTTTTTTTTATTATATTCAACCATTCTATTGAGACTCTCGATTATATCAGAAGATAATAATGAATTATCAACTCTATAAACGAAAAATCAATTAGAGTCTTGCAAAATTTATAATAGACAATATTAGCAAATTTATTTCTCATAACGATTTCTTCAAAAACAAACTATTCTTTTTTTTCTCAATGATAAACGTGAAAAAAATCAATTGACTTCAGTTATACGAGAGAAATTATTTCAATATAATACATCTTATCTATTATATAATAAACGAGTTCTTTTTTAGTGGTCTTACTTTATAAAAGAATAACAATAAATCTTTCCATTTGACTATTCATCATTAAGTTTGTTTAGAAAACTTCAAAAGATTAACAACAAATCTGAAAAAATTATCATTTACGTAGTTTTTTAATTTGTTTATGGAATTTATCTTGGCTGAAAAAAAATAAATTCATTTTCTTTGTTCTTTTTCGTTTTAGTTGAAATAATTTAAGATATTTTTATTTCTAGAGCTTGTTCTAGAATATTGACTAACTTATTTATTTTCATATTAACTTAAATTCTCACAAATAATTTACTCTTCATTCATTCTTAGAATATATAATCGAAACTTTTCGACACTTTTTTTTTCTATTAGTTCATTTTCGTAGATTATTTTCGAACTCTTAGGCGAAGTTCAAAACTTTTAACAATTTATTATTCGAAAGATATTTTTAGAAATAAAAGACATTAGATCGACATATGAGATAATAAAACTGTTTTTTCGTCCCGTTTTTAAGATAAGTACGAGCCTAGTTTGTCAACA